CTGGCCGGCATACTGATGTTGATGAGGCCCGGCTGCGAGAATTTGTAGAAGAATATCAGTATGTAACCATTTGAGAGCTTGCTAAGTTAGACGTAAGTGGTCCATAGTCGCGTTATGCGTCATATAAGCTTCACACGTACAAGTTCAATCGCTGGGTGCCGCATGAGCTGACCCAAGCAGATAAGTACTGACGTGTTCGGGCCTGTACTAATCTGCTCGACTATCAACGCAAAAACAGAGTTCTGGACTGGATCGTCACTTGCGATGAAACGTGGATTTACTTCAACAATACAGGCCGAAATAGAGGTCGGTCTGCGTCTGGTAGGCCCGTCGGCAGCGTCGCAAAACGCAGTTCGACTAACAAAAATATCATGCGTTATATTTGATGGGATTGCCGTGGTATTATCCACAAATAGTATATGGAAAAAGGTAAAACCCTTGACAGTAAGGTGTAGAGCAAGATACTAATCCGAGTTGACTATGCTCTCAAGGAAAAATGTTAAACTGAGTTCCGGCACAAAATGGTAAGGTTCCATCAAGATAATGCAAGACCACGTGTGTCTGCGTTCACCGGCTGGACTGGAATGGGATCTTTATCCATACCCACAATATCGCTTCTTCGGACTGCTACCTTTTTTCACACCTGCAGCTACATCTTGTTGGTGCTATCTTCTATTCTGCACAGGATGTCCGAAGTGAGCTTGGTTTGTTTTTGGATTTGTGGCCACCAAGTTTCTGGACCGAAGGCTTTGAAAAACTACCAAAACGTTGGCATAAAATCGTAGATTTGGGTACTGCACTAACTGCAATGACTTTATTAAGAACGTGTTTGGCGGAAAAATTTCATTATAACCAGATATATTCATATCGTGTATGTAATAGTTTAGAAGTCATTAACATGGAGATGCTTAAATAAATAATTGCATTAGAGATAAAATTAGTAAAGTTAAAAGTTTAGGTTTGTAAAACCCTTGAGTTTGCCGTATATTTAGTTAACATCTCAATTGATTTCGAGGGCAAACAACTACAGGTCCGTCTTCTTCAGGAGAAAGACTGAGACAATGTCTTTGACAAGCCTCAAAGCTCTTGCGTTACTAATTTTATGTTTCACCTGGCATGTTTCTCTTCTGTTTTGCATTAAAGATATTAACAGTCGTGCCCATTTTAAAGTTTCTTTATTCTATCTGGCAAACATTTTTAAGCTAACATAGTAGGCGCGCCTTCAAGAAGACTTAAAGAAATGTTTACGTTTTGAAGACGTTTCAGTTAAAATAGACGATAGTGAAATAACTAGCAATAGAAGCAGAGAGCGAATACGACGTGTTTAATATGAACGTTGGGTTCAGAATAAATCCATTTCTTTTCTGTTTTATATTAACTGGTTAATATTAACTTTCGATATAAAAATGACACCTTATTTGCTGAAGCTTTATGTGACTATCTGCATCATTAGATTATACGACAATCGTAGGACAGGAATTAATTTTGAAAGGATGCAGTATAAAGAGATTTATTATAAGAAATGATTATTTTTTAGACTAAAAGAGGATTAATCGTAGTACAGGAATTAATTTTGAAATGATGCAATATAAAGAGATTTATTATAAGAAATGATTATTTTTTGGACTGAAAGAGAATATCCAAATAAAAATGGAAAGTTAAGGAACAACTGCAAATTAAAGTTAGTATTTTAATTAAAATATTTTTTATTTTACATATATTTGTATATTTCCTTATTTTAAATTAGGATAGATGTCATTAAGATCAGAGGGAAAAATTGGAAAATACTATTATTCAACATAGAAAGTAGGTTGACTTAAAAGGTGTAGACATTAGTGATTACCTTGATATAGAAAAGAACGCTGCTAAAGTTGATCCTTGCCCTGGTGTCCACCGTATAAGGATGGTTACCAATATGGCAATATAGTTACTTTATACAATCAAACGAAGAAATTTAATAAATAAATAGCATCCTATTTCTCCTACATCTTTAGCCTTTTGTGCCTCCTACCATTTCAGTACCGGCATCTTAGCCAGATATTCCTTTTGAACCTTTTAGTATTTTCGTTTTCTATAGTTTAAGTATGCTGCACATGCGGTACTTCGGTTGTAAGGATTATGTTAATTTCATCAACAGTTAAATTTTGAGTTAAATCGGCCGTACTTTAGGCCCTTGATTTTGTACTTTGGCCTTTTTTGTACTTGTACTTTGGCCGTACTTTAGGCCGCAGTCAAGTTACGTTAAGGGGCCAACTCTGTTAGAATCTTGATAGCTTCGGTTATATCTCTTTAGTTAAGATTAGTTTAGTTTCTTAAGTTCAAGCCAAAGTGTCGGCTTTATTGTACAGCTCCAAGACGGAGTTTTGTTAAACTTTATTTGGAATAATAAAGGGTTATTTCACCCTTCTTTCTTGTTGTTTCCTGTACACGAACTCATGTGATTATTCGCTTACTAATTCTTAAGGTTTTTCACTTTCAACTGTAACTTCAAATTACACAGTGGAGAATCCTACACGGTTTTAATTGTGTATTTATGGCATCAGTACTTTATTTGCTACATGTCAATATTATTTTAATTTTATCTGTTATTTGGTAATGATTTGAAAGATTGCTCTTTAAATTAGAGAATGCATAATTTTTGCCTAATAATTTAACGATAATTGTTTTATGATTTCACTGTATTTCAACTTCGAATTTCTCAGGAATACTTTACTTTCATATGGTGAAGGAAGCCTATATTATAGCGAAAGCAGTTGTTACACTAACGAAGAAACTTAATGGGCAATCTAAAAAAAATATTAGTATAAAATTGTTCTGAATGTTATTTCAATATTTTGTTTTATGAAATAAAACATTCTCGGTGAAGGCGATTGCTGATTTTTCCTCTCCCCGGCTTTTCCAATTAACTTAATTTCTCTACAAAGGCGCCCGAACTAAAAGGATGTTGGATGATGATTCTCCTCACCCAGAATTTGGCGATCGGGTCCCCTAGAAACTCTAGTTTCCCTTTAAAAGGGGGAGTATATAAGGTATTTCTCCCGCTTTCATAGCGTGCCTTCGTGGTGTAGTGCTTTGCATGCTGGCCCGGTAAAAGAGAGGTCCGTGGTTCGATTCTCGGCGAAGGCGATTGCTCATTTTTCATCTTGCCTGCTTACAAAATACCCAATGTCTCTACAACTGATTTTAGCAGAGGAAATGGATTCCTTTTCTCTTCCTGGTTGTATTTTCAGAAAATTAATAGTGTATTGTATGAGGGAATAAGTTCAAATTTTGATGCTTCCAGATAATTAATAATATTATTAGAACACCGGATAGAATTTATTTTAAATTAATGCTCCAATGAACTTATAACAAGCTTCAGGTAAAATGTCGTCATGTTGTCTTATCGGTGGTTGTTTGGATACGATAGCTGAAAACTGTGGTAGTTCATATTAAGTTCGATATCCGGGGAACACAACTCGAGCCTATTATGTAGCCTTTGTGCTTGTCCTCATAAGTAAAGTTAATAGGAGATAGTATCGCTTAGGAACCCACGACGCCATCCCTTTCTAAACTTAATCAGTTACCCAACCAATTGAGCAAAATATTCTGAATCCTTTTCTTATTCACAAATTCTTCTTCCTTTAGTAAGAACATGAGGTTTAAGCTTAAATCCATTGCTTAATCGTTAGCAGACTTTGGGACAGCACAAAGAATCTTGACCGTCTATAGAAATTTAGAAAATGTTAAAGTTTGGAAGGTTCGGAAAATGAATGACAAAAGAATTCTGTTCTTAAAGTATTTTGATTTCGTTTTCATCCCATCCTGTGCTTTTGAGGTCTCCTTAGTTTTTCTTTAGATATTATTCTTTCTTTTCATTCTCGATATTTTATTTTCCAGCTCCAAGGATTAACATTTATTAACTCAAAGAAAGAAACATACATAATGAAAACAACTTTCCATAATACTACGTATAACAGAATCAAGCGAATGAAATTTCTTTATCTAATGCTTTTGTTAGTTGCAAATTATAAGTGCCGTTCAACAGTCATTTCAAATTGCAAAATCTCGCAGACTATTTCAAGTACTTGAGACATTTAAAAAAAAGCAAATATTTATTAAAAATCTCCTTAAATAGCAAAACTCATTTTAATACTGTATATAAAATTAGTTTGAACATTCTTCATTAACTCAAATATTTAAAATCTGCATTCATATGAAAAAACATTATGTTGCTACTGCAACAGATTAAATATCAGATACATATTTGTTTTTCAAATTATGTCGCCATTGAACAGAAAATACTGACATCTAGTACATTATAAAATGTTTTGTATGATGGGAAAGTTGGGAAGCAAGAACGAGAATGAGCAAGCATTTTTATGTGGTTGTAACAATTATAAATTTATTCTATTTATGCCTTCCTGAAAAGGAGCTTTTGTAGCGTACAGTCTTTTTCTGTTAACAACTGATCTTTGTTTTTCTAATGTCCTGTATAATATTTCACTTAATCATTAATATATGCGTTATCCTACAACAGAGTCAATAACTTTAATATTCTATATACATAATTAAGTTCGTGGTATATGCATGGTAGCGATGACTTTTAAATGAGAAAGTACATTTTTTACACAAAGCTTATTTTCGGAATATGTTACATGTTCTGTTACTCGATGACGAATTAATGACCTCGAGTTTGGGCCTCCCTCAAGCCAAAGAATATGATGAAAGCAGTTATATTACGACAGACATCTGATTCGGTATAAATAACAAAAGACATGTTCATATGTAATTGCACCAAAGTACTATTGTTTCTCATATATATTCAGTCCATGAATTTCATCCATTATTCAACTCATAAATTTTTATGATTTCTATTGTATTTTAACCCGAAGAATGTATGAACCATTAAAATGTTCAGCTAGTTATTGTCATGCGTATATATGCTTACTTATTGAAATAAATTAATATTTTACGTGTTAAAAATGTACCAACACATAATTAATGTTTCTTTTTTGTAGATTCCACCAGCAGGCTCTGGTGGAAGTGAAGATACTAGAGCATCTATGCCGGAAGGATAGAGATGGCAGTCATCACATGATTCGGATGTTAAATCACTTCTATTTCAGGAATCACTTATGCATTACTTTCGAACTTATGGGGTATGGCATTGCTTTTCTTATTTACTTATATGTGGATAACATTAGCTCTAGCGATTATTTATGGGAGCTATCTCAGATAAAAGCATTGCCAAAAGGCCAAATATTTGGCTCAATTATTAGTCATCCATGCACAGTCATTTCGCAATATTTACTTACTGAAGATCATAGACGGTAATGACACTGCAAAAGAAGAAAGTGGGAATATTTCTATAATATTAAGCAATACTTGGAAGAATGGAATCCAGTGTAAGATAATATAAATATTATTGTCTGAGGTATTGAAGGAGCTTTCAAATTCAATACTAATGCTACCGAGTTGTTTCGTAAATCTTTAGCAGAATGACTAAACTGCTAGTTCCATTTACGTTCTTTTTTTTTTTTTTTTTTTTTTTTTTTTTTTAACCCAAAAGGGCTATTAGTCTCGAAACACGATTTTGCATTACTTAATCTCGATTACTTTAACACGATTTTGCATTACTTTAAGTCTCGAAATACGATTTTACATCACTTTAATGTAATCACAGTAAATGCGTTGTTTCACTTCTGATTCAAATCTGTTACCATTCGGCAAAATGTAAGATATTTATCTTTCGAATTTAATTTATAACAGTTATTAATTAGCAAAATAATATATTTAAAAGCAATAGATGCAGTTCTCAATGAAATTATTCTTTAAATTTTTCAATCGATTACTTTAATTAAAAATGCATTGAATTCATGATAGATCTAATTAAAAGCATTAAATATTTTTATAGAATTACATTATATATTTTTTTCACTTTTCAAACATATAGAAGATACATAACGTTCCTATTTTAGTCTAAATGCAGATTCACCTAGTATTTGCTACGAATCACACAGAAGTCTTGCTTCCAGTACGTTTAGTTTAAATTTCGTTAATACAGATTTGCCAGAGAAACAGCTAGAAAGCCTTCGTCAAAATCTTCTTTCGTATCAGCAATGTAATTATTCGTCCCATGCAATTTATTTTTGAGGACGGCACTTTTCACATGTTACACATTTGTATACTTGGATCATTTTTCTGTTCAATAGATTTTGCCTTTTAACAATGATATTTAATGGTCTCTTAAGGGAAGTTGAAAATGACATCAAAAATTGCAAATTTTGAAATTAAGAATCTGGGTCAATATTTTTCCGTACGGAAGTCAAACTTCTTGTATTTTTATAACGAGTATAAAATTTTCTCAGATATAAGTATAGGACTGGCAGACCACATTAAAAGTTAAATTTCGTTATTTGTCTAAAATTAATTTTTTGCAATTTGACATTGCCCAAACATTAATGTTTTCGTCATTTAAAACACTTTTGAAAGAAGTACATGACTACGACAAATGACTGCGAAAATAAAGGCCATGTAAGGAATTTTTGAGCCGGATAAGGAGGCATGTATGATGCATGCCACTTATCTTCATATATATATGTATATGTATAGACGTTTGGTTCTGCAGATTGCAATGAAAAGAGAGATACACAACAAGATGTTATAGCAGTCCTATATACATAATTTCAACATTCTACGGCTATCTTGTTTGAGTTATGCAAGATACGCCCATACGTACGTCAGATGTCACGAAAAAAAATCTATTTTACAATCCATTTTGGAAAAGGGTACACTTTTCCAAAATGGAGGGACTTTATTCCTTCCACAGACGTCGCTCTAGAAAATAGGCAAAATGGCTTCGAGAGCTGTCGAAATGGATATTTTCATTGCAATATGACAACCAAAATGTTTCGCGATTAAAATACTTTCTTTATTTCGTACAAGGAAGTAAAAATGAACTTGAAATTCGTGTTTTTGAAGCAGTTTAACATAAAATTATCCTATTTGCTTAGAAAAAATCTAACATAATTTATTATTAATATCACTTTTTTGTTAGGTTATGTTCCGATTTTTCTTTTTTTTCTCGGCTGACCTATTAGTAATTATTCTATTGACCAATTTTGTTCAATTTTTACGCTAACCGAAAAGGGTCAAATGGATATTTCAGGTGAAATATGATACTCGAAATATTTTGCAATTGTAATACTTCCTTACTTCGTTCAAATGTTAGCAGTAACTGTTTTAAAAATACAAGTCAATTTTTTTCATTCTAGGTTAAATCTCTATGAATTAATAAAGAAGAATAATTATCGAGGGATCAGTGCTTCAATGATTCGTCGGTTTGCCTTCGCATTGGTTCAGTGCCTGAGGCTCTTACACAAAGAGCATATCATCCACTGCGACCTCAAGCCTGTAAGTTCTTACTTTTCTACTACAAATAAGTAATAATTTGTATTCTATTGTATGTAGCTTTTAATGAAGTATTACTCTGTTTAAAATTCGAGCATAAATCTGAGTTTTTAGAAGAAAAGTGTAGACTGAAACCTCTGAACCCATAAAATCCGACCAGCTAAGTAACACAGTCTTGATATAGTCGACAGCACAACCCTCAGCTTAGGTTACTTGCTTTTTTTCTCTGTTATGTATTTTTACCTCAAAATTCACGCTGAAAATATAAAACATTAGTATATTTTTCTATTTTTAAAAACTTCCATTTAGACCGGTTCGGTTTGCTAAGGGTAGTCTAACTTAATTTTACAAAGAAATTCTTGCCTCTCCTGTATTCATTTCCGGTTCAAATTTTTGTTGATATTTCATGCATATACAGTGAATATTTTAAAGTGATTGTCTTCTGTTTTTCTAACAAAGATTGTGTAAAACGCTTGAAACGGCTTTTATTCAATAATGAAAACGTTTTAGATGCGTAAGAGCAATTTTAAAATTTATTCTATTTTCTTTTTTAGGAAAATATTCTTTTGAAACAGAGAGGTGCCAATTCGATCAAAGTAATTGACTTCGGCAGTTCTTGTTACACACATCAAAGGGTCTATACATATATACAATCCAGGTTCTACAGGTCGCCAGAGGTAAGGATTTGAATACTATTATTTGAATGAGGACCAATGTAATGTAAGTTATTGTCCGGCAGATCTGAAACTAACATGCGCAAAGCCGAATTTGTTCTTCTGAAAGCAAGTTCTTTTAGTTTTCTAAGGTTACTAAGGAACTACTAATTGCTGCAAACAGAAATTCAGTTTTAAGGGAGGTCATGGCTATACTTTATGCACATTGCTCGCCATTAAAATTTTTACACCATTAAGGAAGCATACAACACAGTTGCATGAAATTTCCACAAAAGGTATAATTTATTTGGATATGCAAATGATTAGCATATAGAGGCATGTACATCTTTACAGTCATGAGTAATGACAACTTGAAGCAGTATACAAAGCAAACTGATAATCCGACTTTTCATTTTTTATTCGGAAATCTCGTTTACGCTTTTTGTTTTTGTCTGGAATTTGTCTTACGCCTCATGTTAGAAGAGATAACTCATACCAGCACGTTTCAAAATCGTGGAGGAATCGTAGCTAGTGGGACTGCGGAATACTCCATCAAGAAACTGTTGCTTGCATTGGTAGAAATTTAATGACTCTTATGAGAATTGCAATAGATGAATCGAGGCACATAAAGGCAAGTGCTAGAATTCAACAGCGCACATTCTCAAGTGCCCGAGACTAGAGTCTTCTTGTGTATGTTGCTTCTTGTATACAGCCACTTCGCTGTCAAAACGCTGGGTGTGTTTCATAGCACCAGTATCCGGGCGTATGATTGAGATGACATCTGCAAAGCAACTACTGCTTCGGTTTCCCTTGACGTTACAACGCTGGAATCAGCGCCTACAATACTGCTTTCGTGAAGTATATGGACACATCAATAGAGTGACGTCGTCTTTTCTGACGAATCTTATTTTGCGTATAACATGATGATGGCCGTAGTAGTGTGTAGAAGTAATGAGAAGAATGAAAATTGAAAACTTGCATTCTTCATCATCATACTGAACTAACCAGCACCAATATTGATGACATAGGGTGGGGCGGGCACGATGTATACAGTTCGTTCATGTGTAGCTCGCACATTATTGAGGTTTTAATCTCGTGCCTGTGAAATATGATCGAGGCTTTTTTTGCTCAGTCTTTCAACAGTACAATAGACCTTTTTGCTCAACCTTTCAACAGTACAATAACACGCATCGTTAACCTTTTTCTACGTGTCTTCAAAATGCAGGGTATTCAATTCCTCCCTTCGCTGGTGTATTCTGCAGACCTCTCACAAACTGAAGATGTCTAATCAATAGTTGCAAATAAATGACACATAAGTACAACTGTGCAATCGTCATCAGTACAAATGATTCAAGCACATTCGTCAAGTACTTATTCAAGTCAACAGTACAATCGTCATCAGTACTCTGTCACAGGACTTGTAGAGACATTAGGTGTTTTGAAGGAGAGATAAAAAAGGAGCAACGCTCTCGTCGGGAATCGAACCACGGGTCTCTGGAATACGCGCCCAGCGTGCTGACCACTACACTATGAAGTCATGCTAAGAGTGCGGGAGAAGTACCTTATAGACTTCAATACTCGTAATTACCATTTAAAGTCTGTTGGACTCCACGTTCTTCATACCGGCTGCTATCGTTATCAAAAGCGGATGCTCGGGGTACAGTATCCCATCGCTTATTAAACACACTGGTTTATAAAATCATCTGCTTATTAAGATCGAATTTTCAAGAACTGAAAGAAATATCTTTTAAAATCTCAGTTTATTAGACTGATTTTCTCCGCTTATAAACCCAGATTTTCATAAGACTATTTCTTCAGTGCTAGAACAATCTACTGGTGCCTGTGTTAAAATGTCTCTATTCTTCAGTTCGTCCTACTTCTTCAAGAACGTTGTTTTACTCCTGAAGGAGATTGACTTGATCGCCTTCAAAATTGATAGAATTTTAATCAAAATCTACGCCAAACTAAAGTTGTTTTTTGCCTAATATTAAATTTTATATCTGCTTATTTCTCATTGGTATGCTACGTATTAAAAGGTATGAAATATGAATGAAGGAGGAAGTGTCGAAAAAGAAATATTACAATATCTTTTTCTGAACCAAGTCTTTTATGTTCGATTAACGTAAATAAAAATGAATAATGTATGTTAAAAAAAGCCAACGCTTTTAAGCATAAAAGCTTGAAATAAATATTATTTCCCATTTTGTTACCTCTGCTATATATTACGTACACAGATATAGTTTTACAGAGTATATGTTTAATTTTAGGTGATCTTGGGTCTTCCTTATGGGCCTGCTATCGATATGTGGAGCCTAGGATGCATTCTGTCCGAGCTCCAAACTGGCCTGCCACTTTTTCCTGGTGAGAACGAAGCTGACCAGCTCGCATGTATCATGGAAGTCTTGGGACCACCACCGCCAGCTGTGCTTGAGCTAGCCTCTCGAAGGAGACTCTTTTTTGGTAAACTACACTGAATTTCTTACTTTTTAGTGTAAATTTGTTTAAATTTCCATATCATATTCGCAATTAGTAATACTTCGTAAAATTCCATAAACCAGATTCAAAGTAAATTTAATAATTTGGGCAAAGGTATTGCAGTGAACCTTGCTTAACTGAAACGTAGATGAACAGAAAGTGTGAGCAGACTTCAGTCAAAGAGTCTGATTTATTGTGATTAGTTTTCAAAAGTTTTAATTAGTATTTTATCGTTGTCTGTTATTTAGAGATAAATACATATTTCATAGTAAAATATGTGATCTCAGAATATACAACTAAAAAGCATGAAACTGTTATTCTAAGAAGAGTCTTATTGATACAATACTCATTAAATGGTGGCCCGATATAGCCGTTCACGAGTGCAACTTAAAAAATGCTTAAACTTCACCACTGATCGAAATAACAATCGATCGAATAATGATCGAAATAAGATTATAAGGTATTTTCTCCCTCCTTTCAGCATGCCTTCGTGGTATAACGGTAACACACTAGACGCGTATTCAAGAGGTCCAGGTTCGAGTCCCGATGCGGGCATTGCACATTTTTCTTATCTCCTGCTTCAAAATAATCTAATGACTCAAACTAAACAGTTGCGACAAACTAAAAGGTGGTGGACAATAATTCGTAACTATCAGGATTTGGCGATTGGGTTCACTAACCCCCCAGTCGCTCTTTGAAAGGGGGAATATAAGGTATTTTCTTTTTAAGAAGTTTATTAGGTTGTTTTAGGTTTTATTAGAAACCAAATGAATCTCTTACCCATTTTTCTCTCAATCAGAAATACTTTGCTTTTTATCTAACGTAAATTGAAGAGTAATAGTGTAAACAATAAGAACATTCCTTCACACCCGTGCATACCTTTGTATATGAACGAGAAAATCGCCTACCACTCTAAATTTATGATATAATGGTTGCTAGCAGTTGCAAGATTGCAAGATTCAAGACTCGACACCTGGCAACAACACAGTTTGTATACGATATCAGGAATAAAAATCTCTGTAATTAAGAACTGATGCATTCAGGTCCTCCGAAAGAATTTTGTTTAAGATATAACATGCATTAAATCACGTATAATTACGAAAAAGGAGTATAACTTTACATATTTTATACATACGAAATCCGCAATTCTTTCGACGGTTCCTTAATATATCTAGGACTGCGATATATTTCGATAATTAAATTACATCTCACAAGCGGCCGAGCGGTTAAATTGGGATAAATCGCTAAGCACTTGTATTTCGATCCAGGTTTAAAATTTAAATAGATTCTAAGTAGGAGTAATTACGCATATAAATCCAACATATTTTAGTAATCAAAATACAAAAGTCGTCGCAAACATGGTTTTATTGAATTACGTTGAATTTTTAAATATAATATAAAATTCGTCTATAATAATAATTCACTAAATTCGTCTCAGCATGCAAATGATACATACTATTTCCATTATTTTTCCAACATAGACGTAAATTAAGTTCAGTATTTTACGCTTCTGTTTTACAATCAGTCACAATTGGGCTTATATCAATACTTAGAGTATAAGTAAAGTTATCACCGACTGAGCATAGTTCATAACTAATAATCTAATAATAGCTATCAGAAGAAGAGTAAATTAAACTGAGAATGATTTATAACTTACTGCCATAATGTTAATGCTTCGTGATTATTTCTGGACTTTTATATTAGACCGAGAGCGTATTAACGAGGTAAAGTACCTAATTTGAGATCAATATAGAAAACGAAACTACCGATTTATTCGTACATTTCATTTGTTTGTGCTAAGCTTTGTTTATCATAAAAAATAACTACACAGTTATTCAAATGGAAGTAAAATACATTTAGGGAAGAATTTTGCTATAAAGTCAATAAGAATTAATAAATAAATAAAAATTAGTAAATATAAGTTAATTATGACATTATTTCATTTTGCCATTAGTTAGTAGATTTTCAAAGATTCGTAGTAAATGAAGATTTTTTCTAAAATATTTTTCAAAATACATTCTTGAAACGTGCCTCCGCTTTTATACTTCCAAGTTAGTTTTGCCTGATGTACTACATATTCATCAGATCTAGATAAACTTAAAATTCCATAATATTTTACTTCAGAAAGTAATCAGAAATTCGCAAGTAATCATCAATACTATCACAGATTAATCTTCAGCCAGACAGAAATCAGAATAAAATACCACGTACCTCCCCCAAAAAAATTGCAAATAACCTAGTCAAATAAATCGTACAACATTCGTCAATTTTTTATTTCTCTTACATTTATGGAATATAGTACCTCAGTTATTCTTTTTATGTTTCGTCCAAATTTTTGGTACCTTTAGTTCTCACATAACAGTTTCGACAAATCATTCTTTTCTCATGCACAGTTCTATTTTATTATAGAATAAATTTTCGTGGTTATAATGGAGAATCGAATGTGTAGGAGTCATCCAATATTTATAGAACTGAACTGTTTATTTTCAGAGATGCGAAAGTATTTACAATAACAATGGGACAAAAGTAAAAACTTGTTTTTATTGGGAATTTAAAACATTATGCAGCTCAAGAAATATTATCGTAATTTTATTATTTCGTCGGAATCGTGAAGTCTACATTATTCTTTCTGCTTTTCTTCATTATATTATTCGTTCCGTAATACAACACCCACATTTTGATATAATATTGAGTAAAATTTTCTAGAAAGAAAGGTACAATACTCGAAAAGCTTTGCAAATCTAAAAATACTTTTATTTTTTATGCAGGTAATTAATTAAATACAGAAAAAATTTATTAAATAATATGTAATATAAAGAACTAATTAAACAGAATTAGTTAGGTAAGAATTGATAAAATAAATACAGAATTACCTAAGTAACTTAACTAAGGAATAATAATTAAATAACTGAATGTTGAAAATAATGTAAAACTTTGCAAACAAATAAGCATGCTATTACAATTATGACTAAGGAAATTTTATTTAAACCGAATCATTGAAATTATTTTATCTTGTGCTCCGTGTCTGGTATTAAATAAAACTGCAATTGAAATAGTAAAGTTTTTGTGTAAAGCAAACTGTAATATAATCCTAATAATATATTATTTAAGTAGTTTTTATATTAGTATATTAGTATATTCCTTTCTTTCCAACAAAATTCTAGGTTTTAAAAAAGAAACAAAACAGACATGTTAAAAACTACAACTAAGAGAAATGACTACAGACTAACAGAAATGTTAAAAAATTGCTGATGTTAATAAACATTCATTAATTAAAGCGAATTTTATGCATAGCAAGAATAAATATTCGAGTTACTGCAGTTCGAGTTCAGTCCAGTGTAGTAAAGAGAAAATAAAATAAGTTAAATGAATCTTTTGTTTAAAATTTGTAAACTAAATTTCTATTATCTCTGTATATTACAGTCTATAAAGCAATTAGAATGTTCCACTTTCTTATCATTTGTGTCTTCACCAAAACAGTTTTTTAATTTCTTTATCGAACATTTCCTTTGTATTCTGAGTTCTGCTTATTGTTTGATGTAAATAATTTAGTTTTTGGCTTGTGTTGCCATGTAATATGTCTTTACTTCAAAGGTTATGATTATTAACTATTCATATAAAATAAGAGACTCTTTTTCTTTCAAATGTATATTTAGAGGAAATTATTAGTAATAGTACTGTTTCCGATTATTATTAGCAAAACATTTGAAATATTGTAAGAATTAATTTATATTAAATGCGCCTGAAATTCTGAAAGTAATCTTTAAAAAAAATGGAAAGAAGCAAAGAAAGAAAAGAAGAGGAAAAATAAATTCATTAGTAAAGGGATTGAGAACAGTCAAAATCAAATACCGTACTTCCTCACAAAATGTTCCCCTTAGCTTTTTTAGCGCTAAGCTCTGGAAATTTTAAAAATACTCGCATAATTTTCTCCATTCCTCTGGAGTTAGTTTATTTGTCAATTATATTCGCTTGATTATTTTTATTTTTATCCAGAGCATTCAATCTGTATTTGAATTTTTGTATTAGCATTTCTTCCATTTTATTTTCACTTATTATCTGAATGTATTTTGCGCAGACTCTTCATTAAGCTACCCAAACGTGGCAGATGTTATCACATTTAAGAAACTTTACAAACATATGATTTCTTCTTACTTCTGTTGTTTACGTTCCAGCTCATTGTAGCCTTATCTACTACTGATGTGTTTAATCTTTTTCGAAGTCCGTATCTTTTACTTATCCTGCTTTTTCTTCGTTCTTCGGATGTCCCTCTTGGGAACTGCCGTCAGGACTCATTCATGTGGGGTATCCCTGAGGATTTACAAGGTAACTGGCCAGAACACACTGTACAGCTCAATTGCCGCAAGATACTGCAATATTAACACACTTGTATATTCTTATTGGAATGTAAGTTTCTTTAACGAAACATATTATGAAAGTTACCAGTAGTTTATCCATGACTACTTCTCATTAATTATGTTCTTATTTTAACCGCGTTCTTCGGAAATTTAATTACTCACATAACTTTTCCCTCTCGATTTTCGGACGCTAAAATTAGTTAAAAATAGGAGGAAAATACGCAAAGAAATATAAAAAATATTAGATATTTTGGAGACTTAAATAATAAATAAATACAGTACTAAATACTGAGAAATTAGAGGTTGCTCAATATTCAGTATTACATTTATTGTTGTTGTACAGGTGTTATTAAGAGTAATTTCTGAATAATAATAATAATAATAATAATAATAATAATAATTGATTATATTGTAAGGATTGTCAGAATATGACACAGAGACTTAATAAACTGAGCAAATGCAGTTGGTAAAATGACACGGATGCGTTAATACAGGATTGTAACCATCTTTAGTTGGTAAAACAGAAAACTTTCTGTTAATTTCCGTTAACCTCAATAACGCGAAACATAATGAAATGAAATTTGTGTACAGAGAAACACTCAGCGTTTAATAATTATGGAATTATTC